CGATTGGAGGAACGGAAGGGGGCCCACCTTCAGTGACAGACGGACGCAGGTTACGTGATTAGTACATAATAATGGGGGTCCAAAAACTTGAAACTTTTGCAATTTTCGAAAATTCACAGGAAAAGTAAAAATCGAATTTTGTAAGTATACTTCGCTCTATTCAAGGAAATTAAAGGTACAATTTTGAGCCATTTTTGGAAATTTCGAAAATGTCCTAGAGGCATTCACATTTTAACGACTTTAAGTGCCCCTAATTTTAAACGATGATTCAAACTCGCAGGATTTTGAGTCGGGAATAATCGACGGAGGAATATTCATTTTGAGGAAAACTTTTAACGGTTTAGTTGCTAAAGTTGTTGACGGACGGACTGGAAGACGGACGTTCAGATAGACGTTTTGAAAAACAAGAACACTTTTTCGTTATCAGGGGGCACCTAAACGTGTACATCTGTTAAAATATCGACATCCATTTTCCGCAACATTACATAATTTTCACTGCACGACGTATATTATTCCGTATATACGTGGTTTCGTAGTACGAATACGAGAAAGTAAGAATCTCAAAAACGATAACAGTTTTCAAGCAACACGCGATCGTCCATTTAGTAGAGCTTTTGCTCACGGCCGCACTTAACTCTCTCTTTGCTCGCGAGACTGGTATTGTCAAGCCTTGAAGTAAATGTAGTTAATTTCTGAAGTGAAATTTCCAAAGCCCTCCGCGTCGCGTAATTGGCGAGGTGCACGCTACGTCTGCTGCGGCAACTCAAATTCTGAGTCCGCTCTCTTTAAACTGATACCCACCACAAGAGTATTTGAAGGGTTTATTTCAGAAACAAGTAAGTTCTTCTATTTTAACTTCTTAGGGCAGTCACATTCTCTGTCAATGCATGCATTATTTGAGGAAGTTGGAGGACAAGTCAGGCGAGTCTGGAGGGTTTTTGGAACAAACTTTCTAAAGACTTGACACATTGTTTGTGATATATAGCACCAGTCGGAGTGTTTGTCGAAACTAAGAAGTTACTTTCAACTGACTTCTGTTATTTCTGAAATAACCATTTATTTGTGGTCAGATTTTTCTGGTCTCCGCTGACGCACGACTTTCCCGTAGCTGGCAACAGCGTACTTTTTTCACTTGCTGGATTTGTGGAACGGGGGAGATGGTAGCGGCCCGGTAGGGCCATGCCCGTATGAAAATGTCTCATTGTTTTTATTTATTTAAGGAAATAACAAATACCCTATCTCGCTACGTCGCTCAAAATAAATTTTGTATGTCTGAAATAAATGATTAATGGAAAAGTCTGATACCTCTTTCATGTTTACAAGATAATAATATCTGCTCTTCTATGGGACTGCTTCACACACCTTGTTTTTCTGTCCGAAGATAAGATGAGTCATGTTATGTTGAGTTTTAAACCACTACTTAGGGTGAATCACAATCAAAGGTTTAAATGTCCACATATTTTCTTTTAACTCTAGGGTTTAAAGTACTCTAGATGCTTTTCCTTAGTTGATAAAATGGTATCACTATTGATTCTCACGGAGATGGGCAATTCTTCTGACATGAGTAACAGCACAATACAGCAATTCGCTTGGTTTATAGCTTAATCTAAAGAAGAATGCTCATTTAGTTATTGGGGATTCGGTTTTTTCAAAACTGCTGAGGTCTTTAAGGTATACGAGTGGTAAACTACTAAGATAATTGCGATAATGATAATGAGGTGAATAATAACTGCGTTGCAGGAATAAGAGGTGAAGAAACAAGGGAACCTAGAGAAAACCTACTGAGAGCTCGCTTAGACCTCCACAAAGATTGGGCAGGGATCGAACCCAACACTGGAAGGGGCACGAAATTTCACAAAAGATGAAGAGTACGTAGGTAATCCTGGCCGAAGTGTTCCACCCCTAGCCGAGGCAGGAGCTGCCACCGCCGCTGCTTCCGCTCTGAGCTTCCCCGCTATGCGGGGCACTAGTCTCTCAGGAAGGTCGTTATCTCTCCCCCCCCTCCCCGCTGCTTCTAGGCTTCCCATCGGACGGTGGGGCGCTGCTTGGTGCTCGCGATAGCAGCATAAGTCCATGGTAGCAGCAGAGATATTGTGGTAATCCATGGTTACCGCAACAAAATGAACATTTTAGAAAATTTAGAAATGTTAAAATAATTCAAAAACCCTATTTCAATATGTCTCATTGAACAGTCTCAAGTAAAATCCAGCAACATTATAAAACTATTTATTGACTAGCTTTTACCACTTGTCTATTTCCTCCCTTAACGCCCCTCAGTCAGTATCAGTATTCCGTAAGACCTACAGGATGGTGCCAACTTCAGACCTGCTACAAGTTAATCCACGTTACTTGGGTATGTACTCTATTTATATAAATGTTACAGTATTCATTTGTATTTCTTCGTTTATTCATATGCTCATTATATTTGTTCGTTCATTTTCCTCACTGTAGAGCCACTGAAGATGTGATGAAGTAGTCCCGAAACACGTGTATAGCTGTTTTTTTCTTTTTATTAAAATTGATATTGCAATATACTACTTTGGACTGATATCTCCATAACCACCATATTTTTTGTTGAAAGGACGTTCCTAGCGTAGTGTACAGCAGTGGGAGAGATACGCTGGAGTGAAGCAAACACTTTATTCCGTCGCAGAGCGCTCGTATGACAGTGCGGGCGCGCCCCTTGGTGCGCCTGGGTGGGACTCGGGGCCGGCGGGCCGTCGGGTGGCGCTCAGCGGAAGGGCGGGCGGCGGCGCGGCGGCCGCAAGCGCCGCGGCCGCGCGGCGGCGTGCGCGCGTGAGGGCGGGCGGCGGGGGCGGGAGCGGGCGGGGGCACGAAGGCGGGGGCGCGCCGCCCCACCGGCCGACGCGTGTCGTCGCTCAGCAACCGTTGCCCCTCGGCCTTCCCCTCCCCCTCCTCCCGCGTCGCGCTCCTGCACCGCCGTCGCCGCCGCCATGCGCCTCCCTGCACCGCGGCCACCGCGGCGCCGCCGCGCCGCCTCCGCCTCGCGCGCCTTCTGCCCCTGCACCCGCGCAGCGCCCAGCGCGTTCACGCGGCCGACCGTGCGCTCCGCCGCGAGCAGTGGGCGCCCGAATGTCCGTAAAGTTAGCATACCCACTTGTCACAATGTTGAAAACTGTATCCCAGAATTTTGCTCTAATTAAAGACTAATTTATACTCAAATTTAAAAATTTTTCTACTAATGCACAACATCGAAATATTCAACACTAAAGGTGGGTACGCTAACTTAAGCGTTACGTCATGATCCACAAGAAAAACGCATGAAACATAAAAACTAAATGTACACAAATTTTGTTCTAATTAAGCTATTCGCATGATTGGTGAAACTTTACTTCGCGTGCAGGCAAAAATTGTTCTCTCGCATGTTAATGCCTATTTGATAGCATAGAAATGTTTCTCTCGCCATATTCTATAGGATGAGTCGCCAGTCGGCTGCCGCTGGTCGAGCCCGACCGAACACGCTTGCTCCCGTAACTGCGCGCGGTGTCGCCATCCAAATCCCTTACTTGAGATAGCTTTTCCTAGCCGGAATGAATGCGTCCGCTGGTACTGCATTGGGAGTGGGCTTCTTGGTGGTGTTCGTTAAATCAAACTCACTGAAAATGAATTACATTTTCTCCTCAGCGAATTGTAGCGACTATCCTTCGCTGGCTCCTCTAGATGAATCGAAACTCGACTCTATTGAATTACTATGTAAGCCTCCATGTACAATGAAAACTTAAACGTAAACACAACGTAGCTGCAAAACCTAGAAATGAATTATTAAGGGACACCCTTCACAACGCCTAGACGTAACCGTAGACGTAAAGCTGTAAACTTAAGAGTTCACTAGCACCAAGCTTTTACGCTAAGCTTACGTTGGAATTCTACCGACGGCCAATCAGAGAGGAGCATGGAATCATTATTAAGCATTATTTCATAACTGTTACGTACTGAACTAGTTTTTCGAAATTTGAGCCATTTTTCTGGTGACTTTAACTTGACGCGGCAAATAAAATAATTACGCCCGACGTCCTTGTTTATACAGTAAAGGAAATGCGAGCACTAATACAACAATAATAGCTTTTATTTATAAAAACAAATCGATAGAAAGCTAGACACCATGGTGAAAAGATCTTTTCATCATGCTATAAATGTACGACAGTGAAGCTTCAATACTCTGAAATATGATTGACTCAAGCGAAAATTACGTATCAGCTGACGTGCGCCATTGTGAATGAGGCCTAATGCATCTGAACGAGTCAGTATTTTAATTTCTTTATCAAAGAAAATGTTTAATCAAATAAACTATGCTAAACAATCATTTATAATTAATTATATCATAACACACAATCATTTCTCACTATTTTTCTTAATTATGTAGTAATTGAATAACTTCCGACTCATATTTTCAAAATAAAACCAGAATGATAATGACAAAATCTTGAAACAAATGAAGAATTTTTTTCAATTAGACACGCTACTTTGACTCGCTTCGCTCGAGCATTTCCAAATCAAGAGCAAGGCTCCGGCCTTCGCCCTCCGCGAAGAACATGAAATATCCAAGAAATTTCCTACGTATTTCTCACAGAAACACGGACCGTTTACCTTCTCTCGCGTAGTGGTGACTACTGAATGTTTCTACGCAATTAGAAACGCGCATCCCGTTTGTGTCCATATGTATTGTAACGTCGTACCAATGGGCCAGATGGACCACATACGTCGGAAGGCCAGCGAGGGAGCGGGAGCAGTCCTTTGGCTGCAAGGGGAAGGCCACCAGAGGGCCTCAAGGGCCGGGGTGGGCGTGTCTCGGAATGCGGGAGTCAACTGGCGCAGAGGGAAATGATGGGTGAGTTCAGCAGCGGTGCAGCTCGACTCCAAAATTGCAAACAGGCCCACATTTCGGAATAAGAAGACGCCGCCGGCGTGGGAGGTCGGTCACGTGACCCCTCGCAAGGCGGCTGGAGAGTACCCAGCCCTGGTCATTCGTTGAACGGAATCGCGGCGCGGAAGGCACTTTTCACCCGCCAGGGGTTATCACGAGCGTCGGCTGCGAGGTGTGGCGGTTGCCACGGGACGAGAGACCAGGAGCGGCACCAAGCCGCTGGGGTCTGAGGCGGGTATGCCTCAGAGATGTGCAGTGTTGGGAGTGCAGCGCTAGTTTCCGAGGAGTGTAGATAGTGTATAAAAACTTGTGAATAAATCTATACAAAACAACTCCGTGACTGTGTGTTTCTCGCACCCGACGACGCCACAGTATGAACTGTTGGGGGCGTGGCTGACCTGTGGGTAGGTACTCCTCCACATTTGGGCGTCAGCCAGCGGCGCCGGGGGCGAAGGGGCCTCGCGCCGCGCCAGCTGCTCGTCGAAGATGGAGCGCACGCGGCCCAGGTCGCCCGGGGGCCGCGCCGCGCCCCCAGCGCTGGATGGAGCGGAGCCGCGACGCGACGCTGGCGGGTCGCGTCGACGCGCGCGGCGGCGCAGTGCGGCCAGCCCAGCAACCGGCCCCACGTATCACGTCCGGGTAAGGCTCACACAGTAAGAATCATAACAAGTGAATGTTACAAACTTCTCGTTCATTTAGTGGGGTCGAAGATGATCCCTTTTCCCTGAAGTTGTGGGTGGGAAAATTCAAAAACCAAGTTTACATTTCTATGATGATAGTGATAACTCATGCTCTGGTTTGGCAAGTAAAGAATTATTTTTGCATGTGTCAGCAGTCTTTTCTGCTTCACTTCGGAAACACACTCTGACCAAATGAAACCATCCAGAGAGATCATCATTAGAATGCAGCTCTCTCAGAATAAATGTTTACAATCTTCTCAGAGCATTTAGTGGGACGGCAAGATGATCTTTCTGGTCATGAATGTGTAATGGGAACAAATCTCTAAACTAAACCTCACACGTGACATTTGCCCTGATTGGTTGGCAACTCACGCACTGGTTTTGGAAAGTAGTAAATTGTCTTTGGCTGTGTCAGCACTCTTTTTCTGCTTCACTTCGGGAAAGCTTTCCGATCAAGCCACTCAGAGAGTGCATTCAGTAGAGTTACAGATCAGATTAAATGATAGAATCTTCTCAGATATTTTTACTAATGTCCAAGAGGTTTGTAAACTTATTCTGAAGGTGGTGTATACTATTGTACGTTTTACTGATGGAGATTTCAATTGGCCCGAAGATGTAATGATGTTTCATGTAGTTGGCGAAGATAAATAACTATTTGACATTAACATGTGATGGGAATCTTAAAACAGAGGTTCAATGTGGTAATAAAGTTTTAAAAAAAAACACTTAAATTTAGTAATTAAAGAAATTGAATTGCATTCTACTTACTCATTGCAATGAATTATTGTGAGAATTTATATGATTTCGTCACGTTTTTGGACGTGTTCATCCTTAGTTTCAATTAAATCCTTTATACCCAATAAAGTTATAATAACCCGTGTCTAAGAAAAGAACAGACGTTAACGCGTTATAATTCTTATACCCAATACTGGTTAGGAGTTAGTCATGCTTGACGAGCCCTAGTGTCTAGACATGCATACGTGACCGCATACGGCCGCCCGACGCTACCTCTGGCCGCCGATCCTCCCGAGGCGGCGCGGCGTCGGCGTCGGCGTCGCCGTCGCCGTCCTCCACCAGCGCCGGCACATCTCGGAGCCGGCCGCTGGAGGACGCCCACTCGCTGATGCGCGCTGAGGTTGCGCTCTCGAGGGCCGCAGCGCCGCGCCTCGGGACGCCAGCTGGCTGCGGCCGGCGAGGCGCGGCCCCTCGGTGGCGGTCGGCACGCGGGTGCCTGGGCGGGCGCGGCGCCTCGCTCTCCGGGCGCGGAGGCCTCCGGACCTGCCGTACTCTTCTCGCCTCCCGTGCCTCGCGTCCGCGTCCTCCTCCGACCTGCGGCCCGGTTGCCGCGCGTGGGCGGGGTCTCGTTCAGGCTTGGCGGCGGCGCGGGCGTACGGGGGGCGGCGGACGGCGGCGAAGGTGAAACGGCGTCGACGTCCTTGAGCGTGCGGTGGGAGCGAATGCTTCGGAAGCGGGCTGCTTCACGATCTTCCACGCCCATCCTTCGCGCCTGTCCTTGGGGGCGCACGCCCCGACGCCGGGCTGTCCTCAGCAGTGCGCCGCGTTACTCCGACCCGCAAGCCTCAGCCCGCAGAGTGGCCTGCGGGACAGGTGCGTTTGCTGTCGGATTTGGCTACGGTGAAATTCTTCCGCACCTGCTCTTCATGACATCTTGCTTCGTCTTCCGGAAGTGGCTGTTAATGCGCTGGAGCGGCGGAACGAGCGGATCCCGCTCAGTCGCTGCAGTGCCGGCTTTTCCGGGCCAGGTTGCGGATGAGGTAGTGAGCGAAGTCGTTCTTGAGGAAGACGCACTTGCAGGGCGGCTTGAAGGAGCCGCCGCGCTTGGCGCTCGCGTCGCGCGCGGCTTGGCGCCGTCCGCGGCGGTGCGGCGTCTCGGGTCGGAAGCCGACAGGGGTGCCGTGCGCGCGCGGGGCGGCCGGCGGCGGCGGCAGGGAGGCAGGCGAGGGGTGGTGGAGCGCGCCCGCCGCGGGGAGCCGTCGCTGGGGGCAGGCGCTCGAGGAGCTGCGGCTGCGGCGGCGCCGCTGCACGCGCTCCAGTGGGCGAGCGACTGATCGCAGCGCGCACGTCGCGCGCGCATCTCACGGGCACCGCCTTGCGAGATCCAGTGCAGCTGGCGACACGCACATCAATGTTTTAGTTCAAACACTCACGTTAATACATCGACCAACATCTTAAGACTGCAATCACGCTTTAAAGCTAATTAGTAATCATTTA